TCACCTGTGTTCGCCGTCGCCAAGGCTCCTGCTCTATCAACCTCTGACGGCTCCTCATCGCCTCCCGCCTCCTCCCTTGGCTCCATGTCTGCTCCCACCTCCTCCCTTGGCTCAACGTCTGCTCACGTCTCCTTCTGTGACTCTACGTCTGCTCCTGCAGGATCTTGCCATGGATGGGTTCCTGGCAGCCCACCTGACCTCCTGCCTCGCTGGGGATGGTTTCCTGGCCGTCCCCCTGAACCTTCATGTTTTGTCTTCGAGTCTGTCTTGTCACTTCTCCTCTTGTCCCGTGCCTTTCGTTAGTGATCATCTGGAGACGATCGTTGAGAGGGAGGTACTGTCATAGTCTGTCATTATATGCTTTGTTGATCCTAGTGTTTCTATGTTCCCCCTGTGTTCTCAGTGCAGCTGCATCGCCTCAGTCTGCTGATTGCCCTCGTGTTTCTCCCCAGGTGTTTTCAGTTCTCTCATTAGTTTTCTGTGTATTTAAGCTCTGTCTTGTGTCTGTCTGTTGTTGGATCATTGTACTGTCAACCTGGTCTTGTCCTGCTCCATGTTCTGTGTCCAAGCTTCAAGTCAAGTGAGTTTTGCTGTATTATCAGCCCTTTTTGTGTTCATCATTAAAGGCCTTGTGCTTTTTGAAACCTGCCTGTGCCCTGGGTTATTTTGTCGGTCTTGACACCAGTACGATCCATTCTACCAGAAACCACCACAGAGAACAGGACAGGTAGATGGTCTGACAAAAGAGTTCCACCAATTTCCAGAGCGCACATATCTAACCCATAAGACAGCACAAGATCCAGTGTGTGGCCTTTTTCATGAATAGCACCAGTGACAGACTGTGTGAGGTTAAGAGTCAATAATGTTCATAAAATCTTTGACAGGTGGTCCAGCCTCACAGCAGACATGGATGTTAATATCACCAACTATTAAAAGACGGTCATATAATAACAGAAGTCCTGTCATAAAATTAATAAAATCCTTACTGTGCTTTGGTGGGCAGTAGATTGTGGAGCAAAGAAAGAGGGGACACATTTATTTCCACCATCTTATGATCAAAACTTGAGTAAACATGAGTAGGAAGTTGCTGAAAATTAAAACTGGATTTAAAAACAAAAGCTAGTCCACCTCCTTTACGCCCGAGGAGAGCCAAAGAAACTACAGTCTGGAGGGAGAAGTTCAGAAAATGGAAAGGACTCATCAACACGAAGCCAGGTTTCAGTCAGAAACATAAAATCCAAATTCGGTGAACTAAAAATGTCATTCAGAATAAAAGACTTGTTGGAAAGTGATCTGCATGGAGAGTCAGATCTTTACTGTCCAGATCAAGTGCACAGGTCAGGCGGCGAAGATTCCTGAAGTTGACACCGCATCTGGGAATGCTTTCCCTCCACAAATATACAGAAATGTCTGAATCCAAGCAAATAGATGGAATAACAGATTGAATCCAGCAATGCCTCCATTCATACATGTAACTGTTAGCAAAGAAGAAGAAGAAGAAGAAGAAGAAGAAGAAGAAGAAGAAGAAGAAGAAGAAGAAGAAGAAGAAGAAAACCATCGTTATTGTACAAAGCACAATGAAATTGCATTTGCAATTACAGAAGCTGAACACACTGGAGTTCCAGCCAGTTAACTTCAGGATTCTTTTGATTCCTGCCATTCCTGGGGTGTCGCCAGGGTGGAAGAGCACAGGGCTCATGGCACAGAGTTCGGTATATTCAACAGACTTTGAGGTGGTTTAATTTAATAAATCTCCAAATCAGATGTTGGCAACTTAGCATGACAGAGGCTGAGAAGTGTTATACGATCATAAACCAGCAGAGCAGAGGCATCAGAGCAAGATAAGACAAAAACCACTAAAGCAGCAAATAGAGCATACGTGGCAGATGGCTGGCCATGACAGGCACCATCCTTCCCTAAGACCGTGCTAATCCATTCAAGGATGAAGGGTTCCACCCTTTTTGGTCACAAAGAAGAATCCTGCACCCAGCGGGGATGTGGATAAATGGATTATGCCTGTAGGCAGAAGATTGTTAATGTGCTGTTCCATACTTTCTGCTCTGGACTTGACAGGTTATAGAGGCGACTAAGTAGTAAGGGAGCTCCAGGAAACTGATCAATGGAACCGTCATATGGACATTGAGGTGTGAGGGATAATGCTTTGAAATGACTTTAGTAAGTTGTTTGAAAACATAATAATCAGAGTTGAAGAGATAAGGGGGGTCCTTGTTGTGGTAAGGGTGAGTGGAACCAGATCCAGTTGCGGCCAACTGTAGACAGATAGATAAACAGTGGGTGCTCCAGGACTCAATTTGACCCTCCTCCAAATAATGTGAGGATTATGCTTGGCCAACCAAGGGTAACCCAGGACCAGGGGAGACTGAGGAGATGGAAAAACAAAGAACATCAGTTTCTCTCTATGGTTACCCGAGGACACTTTTCTATGGGTTCAGTATGGTGAGTTGCGGTAGGAAGGAACCATCCATCCAGAGCATTTACTCAAACAGGAGAGGGAAGAGGAACTGTGTGGACACTTAGCTGATTAACCAACTTTGTATTGATGAGTTTCTGCTCACAGCCAGCATTAATGAGCGCAGAGATCAGGGGCCTCATTTAAAAAGGATTGCGTGGAAACCATACTAAAAGTGAACGTACGGCCAAAAAGTGAAAATGGCGTACACCAAAAAAATTCAGATTTAGAAAACCGTGTGTACGCATGTTTCAGCGCATCTTTCCTTTATAGATCACAGTTACACCTCAGAGTTTGCGCTCAAGGTCCTGCCTCAGGTTCTGTCCTCTACATGTCCACACTCAACCCTAAACAGTCAATGCAAAGTACCTCATGAATGTTAAGGTGTATTTAAATGAGTCAGTTGATCAATGTAAAAAAAAGCAATTGGGCAGCTCAGGCATGCGCTCTGTTGTGCGTCTGGAAGATGACAGGTGCTTACAACTGCTCACGTGAACAGATTGTCTGTAACTGACACATCTTTTCCCTCATTTTGCAGGTTTACAGACGTTTGGAGCAATCTCACGATTTTTTTCAAAAACTCAGCTTTAAATATATTTTCTCTCAGAGCCTGCAGGGCAATAAAACAATAAATAATATTAAATAAGTCAGATTAAGTTCACCACTTTTCTCCCGCATCCTCCCCCTCCTGCCTGCGCTGTTATCTGCGGCTGATCATCTTCTCAACCCCTCACACATCTCCACAGCCCCGCGCATGCGATACAGACTTACGGACTTTAAAAAGTGAACCTTTTATAACATATCCACACTGGCGAGGGTGGCTGTGCACCCAAAGCATGACTATAACTGAGCCTTTTGCCGTCAAGCTGTTGAAATGTCTCTTGTCAGGGAAGGGTCAGTGGTTCAGGGAGGGGTCTGTTGGTCAGGGTCGTCTGAGGAGGAGGAGATGGATGGAGATGCGTGAACTTTTATTTAAGATTTAAGCATTTTATTTCAAAGGACTGGCTCACCAGCAGAAGCATAAATAATACTGTTAAGAAAGCTGATGATAAAGTTGATCTAAATTCTAAGTTTGATTATGAAGGTAAATTAAATATGACAGTGATCATTACACAGTATGGCTATAATTCTTCACTTCACTGTTTGTGCCAGCTTCCCGTCTCCAAAATGAGCTTACAGAATGATCTGGCGTGAAGGACTGTGCATTTTCTCACCAAGTATGGGTTTTATAACTCACAACCTTTTCGTGAAAAGTGGCATACGCAAATTTCTAGGCTCGTTTTGTGCATATGCAAGCATTGTAAATACCACCCATGGACAGAATCTAACAAAACAGAAACAGAAGGGTGACAGGAGACGTCACAGAAGTGAGAGGTCACTGCAGGAGTCTGCGATGGGGCAACTGCTCCAGCTGTGGGGGGGGGGGGGGGGGGTTGAATGGGCTGAGCAGACTGAGCTGGGAATGAAAATTTTTGGTTTATTTCTTGCGTTGATACAGATAATTGATCTAAATGCTGAGCAGTGAAATTCTGCTGCTCACACAGAAGTTTAGAACGGTTTTGTGTCAGGCCAGCTGGGAGATTAGCTCAATACCAGGGTTTAGAGCAGACTCCGCGAGATCAGACTGGCCTGATGATTCTGTCCTGTTTTCAGAAAGTTTCCTTACCCACACGTGGAATCAATATGGGACATATTCTAGAAAGAAACCAGAATTAATTTTTGCAGCAAACAATAATGGATTGGCGAAACTGCTAGGCTGGTGACAGCATCTGGAAACGGGGAAGAAGAGATTAAGGTGAAGAACTGAGTTTGAGCTGATCTGGTGGTTGGATGAGTATGAATCTTACAGATGAAAATGGATCTTACAGCTTGGTGGTGGTGTCTCAATGTGGAGGGATAGCTGGATCCACGGAGGTTAGTGGTTGTGAACAGATCTGAATGGTGTCTTATTCTCCTGAACAGAAAGCATTGGAGAGCAGGTAGGCAGGAGGAGCTGAAGACCACCTTGGAGAGCAGGAGGCGATCTGAGGGAGGTGAGACTGAAGAACTGGAACCGGTGTGGGAACCACCAAGGATTTGACCCGGGAGAGCATGGAGGTGAAACAAGGGAGCAACGAAGCCAAATCAATTTCTTTTAAATTGATTTAAAGAGTTTCCTCTGCTTGACTCTACCAGGTATGGCAATCATCAGGCACTGAATGGTTGCAGGAGCTCCTAATTGCTGTCAGGTGTAGATGCATGTCCTCCTGCAGATCATTTGTTCAGGCAAGACTCAAAGACACAACACGCACATGAATCCTAACACTGAGTTTACATTGTATCAGAATAGTGTAAGATTTTGCAGAATTGTGCACACCTGCTGCTCACTAACACTGTGGAGAACTTAAAGCTTATTCTGGAACCTGTCAGCAAAAAGTTTTGTGTTTTAGGTCTTATTCCAGCTTCAACTTCTGAGTTCACATCAGGGGTCTATTAATATACAGTCAACTGCTTTAGCTTTTAAGAAAGTGTATAAAATAAAAAGGCATACCAGTAAGTTCTGGCAGGGTTAACAGTTCAGTGGTGGTATCAGATGGTCTGTCATAGAGCGTGTCCAACAGAATTGGCTTGTCCCCATCAAAGAAGTAGGAGCAGAAACCTGCAATGGCAGTTGTTGGTCCTCCAAGGTTGTTCCTAAAAAGTCAATTTAAGAAAATTTGTAAAATAAATAAATAAGGTTCACATTTTTTACAGTTTTTCGCAGTTGCTAAAACACATTTCTTGAAACCATCCATCCATTTCTCTAAACTGTAAACACAAAACCCAATTTTAAAACTAATTTCACAGAACCTCTGACTCTCCCAGCATAACCGAACTCTAGCTTCAAAATAGTTCAAACTTTGCTCAAAATCAAACAATGTCGTCAAATCAGACCTCGAAGAAATAAAAGAACAAACACTACAGAGCAATCATTACACACAACAGGGAAAAAAAGAAAACACAAGAAGCTTTTGAAATAATCTTTATTGTCCACAAAGAAGGCATTTCCTAAACAAAACTCCTGTTTAGCACTTTTAGTAAAAAGTAATAAAACATGATCTCTATTTTATAGAAAACTTGTATCTCACCCTACTCTTCCACTTCAGAGCTCTGGTAGAGGACCTGAGTTTGAAATGGAGTTTCAGGGTTCTGTTCAGGATCTTAGCTGTCCTTACAAGTAACCTCTTCTAGACAGAGATCTCTGAGGTTGTTCTTGGGATCTGTTGAAGTCACTCCTCTAGTTTGGGCGTCACAGCATCAAGTGCTCCAGTAACCACTTGGACTATTGATACTTTGACTCCATAAATTCTTTTTTCATCTTGGTATTCGTCCAGCTTCTCGTTCTTCTTCTTCCTGGTGTTTCAGTCACTTATGATCTCTACATCTATCACTGCTGCCTTCTTCTCTTGTTTGTCGACCACCATGTCCAGCTGGTTAGCATCACCTGTTTGTCAGACTGGATCAGGATGGCCCATGTATATTAGACTGTAGTCTATATGTTGCATGAGTGTGTAGCCGATAAATAATTCATATATATATGGCCCACTCCTCCATACAGATCTCCTCCAGAGCCTTCAGCGCTGGGCCACATGGACTTTAAGCTCCCTCCAAAGATTTTCTATTGGATTCAGGTCTGGAGACTGGCTAGGCCACTCCAG